TTGATAAATCATTTCAGTTCTTGATTGATTGTTCACGCTTACAGTGGCTTTCAGACAGCATACATAAAAACAAATTTCGTCTCCCCCCTCCTCTTTTCAAAAAATAGATGGACTAGTCCTGGGCAAACTGGCAATCGCTGCGCGTGACGCAAACGTTATTTTTATATAAATAAATAAATATGCCGTTTTCAAAATAAATTTATGCAAACCGACACACCTGATGATGACCGTTTGAGTTATGGTCGAAACGTCGTGAGAGTTTTTTATTGTTTTATATATATTTTGTTATTTTGTTGTTTCTCTTCAACGTGACTTTACCGAAAAAACTAAGAATATGAATTACTGCAGTCACGAAAGCTTTAAATCAAAATTTACATCACCTTGTTAAATGTTTTTACATTAACAGACTAAGGTCTCACTAACATAGCCACCGCTGCTCCCTTTTTCCTGGATGTAACGGTAGCTCTCGCTGTTTAATAGGCTGTATGTCTCACTGGCACGGCCGCCGTTACGGTGGTTCTCTTGTGTTGATACGCTGGCCTCTCACTATGCAGCAGCCAACGCCGCAGCTTGTGTTGCCCACGAGGTGGCGCTATGCCCGATCCTCTAACACAGACATGCTAGCTTCCCATTAAACTCGTTTACATTGACATGCCAATCTCTCCCTTTAACGCAGTTGCTGTGCGTGCGTGCGGCGACGTTGCTCGTGTGTGACGACGGGGCTCATTTCCCATTATACTCGTGTAAATTAACATGCCAATCTCTCCCTTTAACGCAGCTGCTATGCGTGCGTACAGCGACAAGACTCATTTCCATATCTGACCCCGCCTACTTACCCTTGGGTGACACCCACCTCAAACCTTTATATAACCTCTTGTTGCAGCAGCCCTTTCCTGTTCAGAAGTTCTACTGCTGTATCTTTCCACCTGATGACGATTGCTTGTGTTGCGATCGAAACGTCGTGATTTATCATTTATTTTTATACCTACGTGACGTTACCGAACGAGCCAAAGAGTATAAACAGAAGCTACTTGTGCATGTGGTGGCTGGACATGCGGGCTACATGACCCAGCCAACGCAGCCTTGCCTGGCGGAGGAGTTTACTGATGTGAAATTGTGACCTCACACAATCCATTCTGGTTAAACGCAGGATGGATCGTAGGCAGGTCAGTCTGAATATTTAGACCTGGCGCAGATGTTCATTTAGAGGGGTTCACGTTTTGCAAAGCATAGAGAAAGGAGGACATGACTGTTGCCGATAAAAATCTAAGCTTCATATGGAGTGACAGGCCAGATAATTATTGGTGTGGCTAATGATAATGCCCCATCTTTTAGTGGCATGCTGCAGGTTCAGCAGCAGACTCCGTAACTCCTAAGAGCGAGCATTAATTACCAGATCATCAGCTTACTTAACATGGTTTACCAATAGGGAGCCATCCCTTGACTGCACATTGGCATCGATCATCCTCTGTACCGGATGGAAATTCCTCTGATATAGGCGTGGAAATATCGAACTACGTGGTAGAAAAATATGTTAAAATTATGTAAGAGCCAGAGGATATCCCTGTTGCACCTCAAGGTGAATCGGGAATGGCTCTGACTTCCAGCCACGCACGTTTACCTGGACCCGCCCACCGTCATGACGGTCCTTAAGGGTTATGAGCAGAGGGTCAGGGACCTCGAAAACACGAAGAATAGTCTAGAGCCCTGGCCTATTGATGATATCATAGACCTTGACCAGGTCAATAATGCAGGAATATTGGTCCTGTTCAAATTCTCTACTCCTCTTCTATAGCAAACGGAAAGACAATAGGTGATCTCCGTGCAGGACTACCCCGACCTGAAACCACATTCAGGCTCCGCAAGCCTCTCCTCAGCGATGAATATTGCTGGGCAGAGACGATCTCCCACATAAAAACCCACTCACACAAACTCACACGTAGAAACTAACGTTTTGCATTATCGATATAGTATTAGAATAAACCGGTTACCAGTTTTATGTACGTATACAAATGCCTCATAATACACATAAAATATGTGACCTTTCAAACTGACAACCGAAGCAATTTGCGATGGTGTACAATACTGGTTATCAGCAAACAGGATTTACAATCCAGAGGTATCGCAAGTTCGATTCCAACTCCCGGTGCGGCAGTTGAAGAAATGGTCTAGGTTCGTATATGTTTAAATACTCGACGGATACAATGGAATCATAAAATACGCGACGTTTGGGGCATTGGTCCTTCTTTATAGCACATTAACTAATTATGTTCAACATCATATTTTTCTATCTTAAGGCGAGAGTGTTTAATGAATATGTTGAGTTGTTTTATGCGTGCTTATGTACCACTGCCAATGCAGAAGCAGCATCACCCAATAACACGCGTGTTTAATAACACATCACAGACACATAAGGCCACACACGTACATACAAATATACGCAAACGCACAAACCACACATGCACAAATATGATTACATGTTTAATCGCCCTATCTCTGTCCACCCAGCATTATGGGTTGCTTCAATCTCGATTGAAAACTCATTTCGTTAGAACTGCCTTTTTATGGTTAGTTGTCCTTACCTCGCACCTCCGATTAGTACGCACGGTGTGAAAGAAGTTCAACATACATATGTTACACCACATTCAGTCGATCGGCAGGTCGCGCGTCGTTTCGGAAACTACTTCTTCCAAGACGTCTCTTAAGCGTGGAAGAGTAGCCCTATGACCACTCCAGAGCTCCCTCGAGCGGAGGCCCTTCCAATCAGAAGTGGCGTGAGCGAGAAACTGCAGGGTTGCAACTTTATCATTCAACTGAGAAACGTGGGCATATGTATACCATAACACACGATGACTTGCACTGTCGTTCGGTTTGTACACTCGCGTTTGCCGATCAATATATTAACTCCTGACATTCCACTGAGAACGAATGCCGATCCTAACTTATGGAACTGGTAATTTATGAGAAAATGGTTGCCGTTTTGCCGGTTCTCATTGAGCAATCCGAATGTAAACCAGCGTGCACCTACGCACACATACGGCGGCCAAGCATGTGCAACAATACAGACGTAAAGAACGCCCGATCGCCTTTAATCGTTGGAGCAAATGTGTGCCCGAACACTTAATAAATCAGGCACGGCGCACGAGGGAGACCTTTGTCTCCCCAGTACTGATGTTCACTTATTGCAGCAGGTACTCATTTAAGGCTGAGTCGACCTAATTGAGGCTCATAACTGATTCAGATACCACTCACCACTGATGTCAACCGTGGCTGGAAATCCCAAACTGTGCCACCAGCCTCCACATGCAAAGCCCACAAACATGCACATAGATACACACGAACTACACGCATATATATAAACTCATGCACAGAGAAACACAAATACATTAGTTCAAAGACAAAGACCCCTCGTATAGCGTTAACAGACTGTTGGGGCAAGTGCTGTTAGCGAGAACCTATGAAGGCCGGCACGGCACACGAGGGGGTGTGTGGCCAACACCACACCCGGCCGCCTTTGTCTCCTCAGTGGCGATGTTTACACGCCACACCAGGTACTCATTTGAGGCTCAATCGACCTAGGGGAGGCCCATGACTGGTCCAGATAATATAATTGTCACTGGTGTTGGCCATGAGCGGGAATGGAACTCGCGTCGCCGGGTTCGTAGCGCATATATTTATAAACGCATGCACAGAGAAACAGAAATATATGATATCTCACACATATATACATGGACAAAAACAAACAAACACATCTAGAGTACATACACAGACAAAGCAAATAGAAATATAATAATGACGTCTGTGTAGGACCGCCCCGACATTACACCACATTGGGGCTCTGCAAGCCTCTCCACAGCGATCCAGTCTGAGAAGAGGAATAGCGCTGGGCAGACATGATCTCCCACACATACAAACCCATTCACACACGCACACACAAACTCACACATACAAACTAGAGTTGTTATATTTCCGGTTTTGAGATTACCGATAACCGTATTAGAATAAACTGGTTCCGAGTTTTCTGCACGTAAACAAATGCCTGTAACACATGTAAAATGTGTAACTTTTTAAACCAAAAAACGAAGGAATTTGCTGTGGTGTACTGGTTACCAACAAATGGACTTACACACACCATATGTATATAAACCACATTTCCAAAGACGAATATCCCCCGTATATTCATAGCCTTAACAGACTGTTGGGACAAGTGCTGTTCGTGAGCACCTTTGAAGGCCGGTTACGACACACGAGGGGGTGGGTGGCCAGTACCACTCCCGGCCGCCTTTGTCTCCTTAATAGCGATGTTTACACATCGTACCATGCATTCATTTGCGGTTGAGTCGACCTAGGGTATTCCCAGAACCGGTTCAGATAACCGCAGCTGGTGTTAATCATGAGCGGGAATCCAACGCAAATCGGCTGTATCGGAACACAGCGCCCTAACCACTACACAACTAAAAAACAAATACAAAAAATCCCCCATGTAGCCTTAACAGACTGTTAGGGCAAGTGCTGTTAGTGAGCACCGATGAAGGCCGGAACGGCACACGAGGGGGTTGGGTGGAAGAAACTACACATGCAGAAATACCATCCCACACACATACGGACACATACGAATGCATACCACACACATACAATTCCACAAACATAAACCCACACGTAGTCCATGCAGATCCACACAAAACATCACAGGCACATAAGGCCACGCGTACATACAAATATACGCAAACGCAAAAACAACACATGCACAAATATGATTACAAACACATGTAAATATGTAAACACGCACACATGCAAACACACATGTCAACACAAACTCACGTACCACACCACACCCTCACACAAACCAGAACATAAAAGAAAGCTACACGCATATATACATATAAACCCACACACAAATATAATCTACACAATACGCAGACACATCCCCACACACGAACATATAATGACATATCTCCATGCAATGCACTTACACACATCATCACAACAAATCTGCTTACCTTGCTTACCAACTTTTCAATGTAAGAAAGCATTGGCCAGCAAAACGAGCCAACAGCGTCTCTACAGACTGACTCTTTGCAGCACGAGCCACTGCTATTGCTATATTTCCCCGGTGATACTACGAAGCACTGCACCAGTGAGTGCGCCTAATGACCGTGCCCCGGTGCTCGGCGTGCGCCCACTGCTCCCAAGGAACAATCACGTTGAGCTGTGAGCGCAGACGTGGAGGCGGAGCTACCTCGGGAATGTCTCGCACTCCACAGTGACATAATTATACACGCCAATGACGTCACGTTCAGGGTTTCCACGCATTTACCAATGGTGACGTAATCATTTGGATGGAATTTTCCCAATATCGATGTGTGCATTGCCCGTTGGTTTCACTGCTTGGCTGGCTGTCCTTTAAGCCAGCGGATCAACACTTCACATGTTCACCAATCCTGCCTTCACCAACCCGCAATGACCAGCATGGGGAAATATGGTCTAATAACCACCCACGACCAGCATGGCGTGGAAATGCAGTTATCCAACAGTGGTTTGACGAGATGTCTGCACATATACATGGTGGATTCAATATTACACGGGACAACCAATCATGTGTTTTTATAGCATGTGTTTTGCCAGTAGTTGTCCTATGAAACACCATCCCGTATTTATTTTTGTATTGCTATTTTTCTTGTCACCTGTTATGCACGTTATGTTTGCCAGGGAACCGATGTTTTTGTTGATGAAACCCGATTCAAGAGTTTCTTAGCTCACAGGGCACTTCAAAATAAACTAAAACTGAACTGATTTGGCAGCCATCAATATAGCTCTTAGCTCAGCTAATTTTGTAAATGAGTTTTTTTTACATGCCAATTAATAGTGACTGCAGCCATCACATTAATCATAATTCTCCACTCGCAATCATTAGGTTATGAGTTCAGACCCGAATGGAGATTGACTTTTCCCATAATCATCACCGAAATATTATTATGAGAATAAGTTTTCCCCTTTTTTCTGGCAACAAAACAGGTGTTAAGATGTTAAAACACCAAACTGAAACCTTTTACAAGGAATAATGTCTGCATTAACCACAATACTTGTGGTCAGAATGCAAACAAAAACAAACTCTAATAATATATGCATTGTCTTTGAAACTGATTGGTCCACACCAGAGACAGCTTTCTTTGGAGCCTCGTCTCAAAAGGGGAAAACCTATTCTCATATTTTGGTACTGGCAAAGGAGATCCCATGACGAAGTACTATTAGTTTAGTGTTATTTTATTTAGTTTAATCATTTTTAGAACGCAAATGTTAAGGATAAGAAACTGTTGCATTTGTAAGCGTGACCAATACAATAAGATAAAACAAATGCAACAATCAAGCAAATAGCAGTGAGACCAAAATGAAGTAGATTCTGATGATAGAGGTGATGTTTGACAACACTGGCAGCCACGGAAGTGGATTTGAATTAACGACAGTTTGCTGTGGTCGTTGGAGTGAAAAGGGTTTAGAGCAGAGGTCTCAAACTCAATTTACCTGGGGGCCGCTGGAGGTAGAGTCTGGGTGAGGCTGGGCCGCATCAAGTGTTCCAAAAAAAAGTACAACTGATCCAATCTTCTCAATCTTTATTAATAACAGTTCAGAACATGAACGGTTCTTCAGAACATAGGCTTCTCTTACCCACTCCTTGCTGCCAGAGACCTGGCAGCACTTCCTCTTCTTACACAGCTGAGCCACATTTGGCTTTAGGGAGGAAGCAATTGAGACCCTCAGTATGGCTTGAAGATGCTCATCAGTAAGTTTGGACCTGTACTTTGACTTATTAAAGTTCATGGTGCAGAAGAGCTTTTCACACAGATATGTGCTCCCAAAAGGGCACATGGTCCGCTTGAACATCCTGGAAAGCTCAGGGAAGGTGAGGGGCAATTATCTCAAAAAATGTCCACGCTTGTCTGCTTTTGCACTCACCTTCCTGAACTTGGCTTTGAGTTAAGAATTGCACTGCAGATCAATTAGCTCCATTTGAAGCACAAGAGGGGCATCTTGCACATCGAAGGAGAAGGGGTCAGCAAAAATTTGAAAAGTGGCTCTGTGTGTCTTGAAGTCTGCAAACCTTTGATCAAATTCCTCCTGTAGCTTTACAATGGCATCAGCATACTTCTCACCACTGAATGGTGTGCCCGCGTCCATGAGTGCCTTGCATGCTGGGAAATGGCAGAGGTTTGTCTGAGAGAGCTGGGCTTTCTATAACACAAGTTTTGTGGAGAATGCTCTGACTTTGTCATAGGCAGCACTGACAAGCTGCCCCTGGCCTTGTAACTTCTTGTTCAGTACATTCAGCTCCTGTGTGATGTCAACAAGAAAAGCTAAGTCCATGAGCCATTTGGGATCACTTAGCACAGGAACTGCCATCCCATCCTTCTCCATTAAGGCTTTCACTTCTGCTCTCAACTCAAAAAACCTCTTCAAGACGTTTCCCCTGCTGAGCCAACGTACCTCGGTGAAGTAGAGCACATCCTCATATACTGACTCTATTTCCTCTAAAAAGGGGCGGAACTGCCGGTGCTTTAAGCCCCTGGATCTTATATGGTTGATGCATTTCACAACGACAGACATCACATTGTCAAACTCCAGGCATTTGCTGCAAAGGGCCTGCCGATGAATGATGCAGTGCAGAGCAATGGCCTCCTCCACACCCTCCTCTTCCAGTTTTCTTTGAACAAGTGCCACCAGTCCATTTCTCCTCCCTGTCATTGATGGCGCTCCGTCGGTTGTTATTCCAGCAAACCTCTTCCATGGTAAACCGGCATCCACAATGGCATCACACAGCTGGCGGAATATCTCCTGAGCGGTGGTCTGGTCATGCATTGGATTCACTGTGAGCAACTCTTCCGTCACTTCAAAATTGTCGTCAACACCACGGACATGCATTGCGAGCTGCACAGTGTCAGTGATGTCTGTGCTCTCATTAAGATCGACTGAGTATGCACGGAAATGTTTGGCTTTCTCACGCAGTTGATCGTGTATGTTACCCTGACAGGTCAGAAATGCGCTCTGCCACTGTGTTGGCTGATGTTGCTAAACTGACCCTTCTTTTCCGGACAGACTATACTTGCAGCCTGTAACATGCACTTTTTGATAAACTCGCCGTCTTTGAATGGCTTTCCCGCCTTAGCAGTCATCTCACTCATCACGTAGCTAGCTTCGACTGCTGCATCACTCTCTTTGCTTGCTTTCTTGAAAAAAGCTTGTTGCCTCAGTAGACATGTTTTAAGATTGGCGACCCGGTCCTCTCTCTCATCTCCCTGGTATTTTACATACTCCTCAGTATGTCTAGTTAAGTAATGACGTCTGATGTTGTATTCCTTGTGCACCGTCAAGTAGGGGGCCACAAAATATCGTTCCGTGGGCCGCGAGTTTGAGACCCCTGGTTTAGAGGTATGGGGGGAGACCTTGAAAGAGAGGTCCGTGGCACAGGATAATGATGTTGTAATGTATCATTCATATCAGATCAAGTCAAACTTTTCATTTATACTGGAGGAATCTGATGAGCTCTTAAGCTATTTTTCACAGATGTCCAGTAAGGGGCACGGGGTCAGAACGTTACAACAACAAACAATACACAAACACGATATGGGCAGTTGGAGGCAATCGCCCTCCAACACAGCAGAGGGTAGAGGAGCAACCCTCACAACAACTCAGCGAGTTGGGACAGTAGGGAGCACAGAAGGTGCATCTGTCAGTCATCTCAGTCAGTCAGCCCATTAATGGGTAACCAGTGCAAGGTTTTTAGCATAGCTGAGGACGGCGTGCGAAAGGTTGTTTTGGAACTGCTATAGTTTGTTGAGGTGCTTTTCTGATGTCCAAGTAAGGATGGCGTTGCAATAATGAAGGCGAGTGCCAACAATGCAACATGCCAGAGTCGTTAAACGATGGGCGGATTTGTTATAAAGCCTCGAGGTGGTGATTGTATTATTTATTGTGTTCAGCATGTGGTGGTCAAGGTGATGCCAAGAGCATTTAGTAAGCCATTTGTGATGGTTGATGTGGAGAGTCAGCATGATTGTTTTTTTTTTATCAGGGAAGATGGGATTAAGAAAGGTGGTGGGGGAAACAGTCAGAAGGGTTACGGTCTTCTGCCATGTTTATGGTTCGGCTGAAAGAGGTTAAACCTGATAAGTTTTGTCCTGAGCGGAGCAAGTGATGCTGAGGAAAGACCGCGGTAATCAGAAGCATAAAATCGAGTAGGAATGACCCAGTGATGGGGGGGGGGGGGGCACCAGGATGGATGCCAATGCTTTGCAGTGGATGAGTGGGATAGGTGACCTTCAGGTAGGCAGCTCGTCGTAAGGAACTGCCGCAGGATGCGTCCTGCTTGGAGCAGCCATAGCTGGTGGTCGGAGGCGGCCGGCATTGTTGATGGAAAACAGTGTTAGGATGCTTAATGGCAGTCTGCTGCTCGCTAGCTGCAGGAAGTGTAAACCAGTTGTCCGCCAGGGGCAGCCCAAAGTGTCGGTGGCATACCCAGCCAGCTGCGGGGCACAGCCCGCTCCACGCGAAGGTCAATGTAGGTGATGGGGCCTACACTGAACCAGGCATATGTAGCCAGTGTGGGCTTACCTGTTATCAATCACATATATAATTGTGCACTCTGCTAATAGCTACTGGTGCAGCTTATTATTATTATTATTTGAGAGAAGACAATGGTGATCATGGATTGGACCCCGAGCCCACACGTGCACAGTAGAGTTACGAAGCATGCCCCAATGTTGATGTGGGCTGACCCCTTACTGAGGAATTGAGCTGCGGTGTTGTGACGTGGAGGATGTCTCTGATCGCTATTGCAGCAGAGATGCCACTGCCCTTTTGAGGAAAACTTCGAAATAAATTATTGCCGTTCCACAAACCCCTGGTGTGCTCATCTGTTGTGGAGTATTCAACTTCTCCAGAGGACAGAACACAATGCAGAGTCTCCACTCATCGTCTCGGAACTTTATTATTTTCATTGTCATCTATTTAGCCGACCTGTCCCCCTCGCAAGGATTCAAGATGGGAGGAGAGGGACAGGGCATACCGGCTACACATAGCGACAATGTGGCACCGACTGGCACCAGGGTGAATGTCCAGAGGTCAATGCCGCTGCAAAACGCTGTCAAGCCAAAGGGGCCTGCAGAAAAAGTGGCAGGCACCTGGCAGGGGAGGTCCCAGCGGGATACTTCCAGAGATGCCAGGCGGCTGCTCAGAAACAGCGAGGACAGTGTGGGGCTGGCAGAGGAT